CGTGGTATATATATATATATATATATATATATATCGCAAACCATAAGTTCTACGTATTTAAGTGTTTCGTACCACCGTATGATGGCAGCCGATACACATGTCAGTTCAGCCTTTCACAGGAAAACTGGTGTGATACGACCCACGCACTTGGACCCCACAAATCGGCTCCCATGTGGCATCAGCCAAAACCATTTCGGGGGTGATTCACGCAGGTGGGTTCCACACTGGTCCCACAACACAGCTCATACCACGGATGGGTATCAGAAGGCTCGCCTCACCAAGCAAAAGAAAGATATACAACGGCTTTTTGGGATGACGTGGCCGTAGAGCAACCTTGTCGTCGGTAAGCTTTGGTTTCCACTCGGCCGTCGCTTCCCCTCCTCGTTTCCTCTCTTCTCGAGCGCAAGTATAACCAACAGGGGAAGAGGAGGAAGCCAAACTCGACCACCCAGAGAAACTATGTCCAACGTTCTCTTCAGCCCCCCACCATTCCACGGCCTCTGCTTCCCACACCGCAGTCGTCTGAAGCTGTCCGCCCTCTTCCCTTCTCACAAACCTCCTCTCTCATCTCTCCTCCATCTCTCCCCCTCCCTCGCCTCCCCGCCCACTTCTCGCCTCCTCTCCTCCTCCTCCTCCCTGCTGCCATCCAACCCTCGCCGCGGTGGATTCCACTTCCGGGCGCTTGAGTCTTCCGCCGCGAAGACCAATGAGGATGAGGATGCAGAGGAGTCCAAGAATGTGGGGGACGGCGGCACGCCTCCGAGCAATTCAGCTCCTGGTGTGGGTTACGATGGGGCCGTGCGAGAGAAGGTCGGTGCGGATGGAGAAGTTGGACAGGAGTACCCGACTGGGGAGTTTGAGATGGAGGAGTTCGATTGGTGGAGGCTCTTCGTCGTTAAGGTGAGGATGCTCTTTGCTCTTCCCTGGGAGCGCGTCAAGAAAGGGAGCGTTCTCTCGATGAGACTCCGCGGCCAGGTCTCTCTCTGCTTTCTTTTTTTATCTTGCTTTCTTTCTTGTCTTCTCTTGGCGTTGTTGATTTGCTGACCTTGTTTTGCTTTCTCTTTCTCTTTTAGCTTAGTACTTTTCTAGGGTTCAGTAGCAGCTTAAGATTGATTCATATACTTTCTTAGAAGCAAAATGATTGGTCTACGTGTTGCTCATCGACGAAAAGAATAGTCACGACGTGTAATTAGTATTGTTGAATCTCGAATTTTGATGATGAAATCAATTGATGAGTTTACGATCTAATCTACGTTTTGAGTAACACAGGACTAACTCGATCATAAAAAGCAAATCAATTAAAGAAAGAGGAATCGGGCGTTGGACCGGAGTGGAACATGTCAGAAGATTAGACGTCGAGCCAGAGAATCGGTCGACGTATCGACAGAAGGCTTCGTGCCATGAGTTTGGGCATCGGGCCACAAGGATCGGCCATTGCGTCAAGGAGATCGGATGTTGCGAAGGTCAATATGCCGATTGGACAATACGTCGCAAGAAAGGACGATGCGTCGAAATGATCGGATGAAGCGTCGAATGAACCAATGACATGCTGGACAACATAGGATTCATACTAGTAATCGATTATATCTAGATCAAGTTAGTTTATAGTCTAATTGAGTCGGTTTTGGGGTGTAACCATGCCAACTCAATTAGGGGCTCATTGGGCCTGAGTTGGGCCAAGTGGAAGGCCCATTCGGTCACCCAAGATTAGGTGGAACCACCTATGAGCTGGAAAAGTCAAGAGCACACTTTTCCAGATTGTCAGGCAGTGGTACTGCCAGATTGGGTGGTGGTACCGCCCATTGTCAGTGCTGCAGGCGGTGGTACCGCCAAGACACGGTAAACCTGGGATGAGACCTTTTTTGGCTCTATTATTAAAGCCATTTGAGGTCTATAAATACCCTAGATATTTCTACTTGGCTAAGAACGAAATTTAATTCAAAGGAGGGAAATAATACCTGAGAAAAATTGAAAACTCTCTTAGGATTTAGAGTCTCTTCTTCCTAGATTTCGAAGTTTTCTGAAGGAGGAGTGAGATCCAAAAGAGAGGTGTAAAAGTTCTCTCTTAAGCCTGTGAAAAGGAGAGAGAGGTGTTAAAGGGTAGTTGATCTTCGCCCGTTGAAAGAAGATCGGTAGTGGAAGCCGGTGACCTGGAATCGAGAGTGGATGTAGGTCACGATGACCGAACCACTATAAATCTGGTATGCTTTCTTTTTGTGTAATTTCTTCATGCTTTTCATTCTCATTACTCGTTGATTTACTTGTTCACTGCCCTCAATCACTTACGAACATTTTCAAGTTTAAGCGCCTTTTCAAATACAAGCTTTTTTGAATGAATCTTCGAATCGATGTCATTTTTATCAAAAGCACTAATTCACCCCCCCCACCCCCCCCCCCTCCTCCTCTTAGTGTCGACTTGGTCCTAACAAATATTAGGTTTACTAATTAGGGATCGATTTCTCTCAAGAAAAATATTGGAATTGACTGCAAGTGCGTCAAGCAAGGGTGTGTCAACACTAGGGTTGTGAAATAGCTTGTATTCATATACTGATTTACAATTGGTTAACTAGGAGGGACACTGCTGTTTCTTCATTAATATGAAATAACTAATAATTTTCAATGCAAACATTAGTATGAAATGTTTTTGTATATTATTTACTATATGATTTAATGATCTCAATCTTTATAGTACATCGATAAAAAATGATACAATGATAAAATTGTATATATATATATATATATACACACACACACACAAGTAAAGATAAAGAGTTAATGTATAAAGAAACATGGAAAGATAAATAAATATTGCACTTAGCTAGAGGGAGGGAGAACATAAAAAATGGTAATTGAGGTATTGTGATCTTAATATAATTAAAATATTTCTGTTATCTTAAGATTTTTTATGACAACTCCATCAAATGAAAATTGAAATCCTTAAACCCAAATGAGGGACTGAATTCCTCCAAATAGGGTAATTGAATTCTAATTATTAGGAACAGGAATTGCTAGTAAGTTTGTGAATTTCAATTACTTGGTAAGTTTAGAAGTTATGTATGTTATAGGATCAGTCAGGGATTATTAGTACAGGATAGGAATTTGTTTCACTTGAGAACTTAAAAGTTGCATCTTGCAAGGATGAGACACTATTAGTTGATTTTCATTATGACTTGGCATAGTGACCAAGTCACCATGGTCAATGTTGTTGATGATGTGATGTGACAGCCAATGATGCTTGCCTTTCCTCACTTGAATAAGTCAGGTATGTACACTTCCCACTAGAGTTCACTCCAACGAATATAGGTGTTTTCCTTTTCATTTGGCCAAGGTTTTTAATCTCGTACGGTACTA